TAGATTAAAAATCGCGAACGACTATCGCGAGTTATCATACCTTCGAATTGCAGATAATCCGTGACATCGCACTGCGAGAAGATCACACGACCTTTACCATATTTTTCGGATAATGTTTCTACCAGTTTCTCTCCTTCTTCAGTGTTTATATCACATATAGCCACCTGTATATAATAAAAAATTATTAAATTATTAAAAAAAAATTTTAATCACTCTCCGGTTTCTACATACAAATTTAATTAGAAATTATGTTAATTATTCCTCAAAATAAAGATTATCAGGTTTCATAACTATTCGCTACCTGCATTCTACTAGCAGCCACATTTAATTTCGGTATTATCACATACAATACAGACTTTCAAAGGATGTCCTAAAGATGCGAAAAGACGTCCTTATATGTCCGAAAAACATTCCCATTGTGTGTCGGATACGGCAGGATCTCAATGCTATCTAGACTAATAGTATCAAGAAAAAATTCGCTAGCAGACTGACGGTTATTAAACATGATAATCTTTATTTTTAGGAATAATTGTCATTATTTCGAAATAAATTTGTATATAAAAAACCATTTTTATACAAAAAACCGAAAGACGATTCAAATTTTTTTTACAACCTAGTATTTTAGATAAATTATATCATACAAATTGTTTGAAAGATATTATTTCTTGCATACTTATAAATTGTTTCAAATTGAAATTTTTATAAAAATTTCGTCGACGCTACCAGAAAATTAAATAATTCTAAAAACAGAAATAGTATATTTGCTATTAAGAAAAATATCGATTACATAAAATATGATACTGTATATATAACGAATAATGCAACTATTCGAATAAATATTTTAAAATAAATAATGTAATGTGTACAACCATGTATCGTCAATTATGACAATTTTTTTTCTCGAAGACGCAAGAAATTTTTTCTCTGTCTGAAAAGTCTAAATATAAATCAGATGTTTTGAAAGAAAACACGCATCGAAAGATCTCTGGAACACTTGTTTTGCTTGAAATTCCAAGTCGTGAAAACGAAACATGACTTTGACCTCGTTTGAAAAATTGAATAGTGGCATTATAAATTTCTTGTTTCAAGAATGACTCTACGATACAAAAAGTCTGAGACTATAAAGGATTATTAAATATATATGTTTTCTCCTAAATTATAATTTTATAATGTACCTTGGCACCCTGATTCAACAGTTCGATGGCATACGCTTTACCGATGCCGGATGCGGCTCCTGTTATAAGGGCAACTCGCCCTTTTGCTTCCATTTTCTTTAAGTTTTTATCTTCTCTCGTACCTGCAGATATAAAATTGGACAATAACATATCAGTATTCTTGAATTAACATTTTTAATTAACAAGAAAATTATAATATTGTGAAAAGCATTGTACTTGTTTAGCGTGTTCAAATTTAAATGGAAAATTTGAACTAAGTAAAAATTTCAAAAAGGGGCACGGCAAACTTTCGATGCAAATTTCTCGCGAATTGAATGTTGGATCACTTGCTTATGAATGTGGAGTAAATACGAGGTGTAAAAATCTTTTAGCTGTACAATATCATCTAAAAGTATCTCAAAAAAATTAGCTAAAAAAATCAATATCAACTTATATCTGCTAAAAAATTTTTGTTATAAATATGCTTACAAATACGCTTTGCGTTATAAATATATGTCCGTTAAAGTAAATTTAATTACTATTTCGTTAAAATTAGCACACTAAAAATTCTTTTAAGTTTTTTAGATTTGTTTATTAAATCTTAATATCAATGGCTTATTCGTGTATTTTTTATTAATTCTTTCTTTGTTCTATTATATATGAACCTATTCCATTCTTCAATATTAATGTTGCTTCTATGTTATGCATTATTAATTATTTTGTCACTTCACACAATTGATCGTATAATCAGACATATCTTATTATTTCAAGAGAACAAAAAGTGATAACGTTTTTTATGAATATTTCAATTTTGAAATCCTCCACATCTAACTGTGTGTCTGTTATTTCTTATAAATCTCAATTCTCCGTTTTATAAATGATTAATTCATTCCTACGTATTCCAAGGGCAGAGGGCATCACGCTTCAAGTACATTGCACCATTCGTCCACCTGTCACTTCGACCAGCATGTCAGCACCAGCGAAAAAACAATTAAGATACTGATACCAATAATCGCAAATGTTATTCACACTTTTCATTCTGATATTATAGAACTTTTTGAATTTAATTTCACGCCAAAATTCCGATAATATACCACTAAATAAACGCTCACAGTACACGTCCTATTATACGTCATCTGATTCTCTACCTCTGCCGAGATAAAGTTCATTGGCTCGTTCCGTTCTCCGTATTATACCTTTTCAATTTCTCCACCCGTGTGTGACGTTTTGCAATAAGCGGGATGAAATAAAGCTGGCTAATTGGCTAGTTTGCGATACTTGGATTCAGTGGTTCAGACGTCGCGTCCTTCCTCCGTCAAAAGGGTGAGATTAACGGCGGCAAAGCAGTCCTGGGAAGGTGTGGTTGGTGGTTGATAGTGTACTGGCTGACTGACGGTCGAGACGGTCGGGGTGTACACCCGGTATAGTCTGATATTGATTGGTGCGTCTGCGTGCCATGCGGGTGTGCGCGACGCCGGCCGGTGCGTGCCCTTCATACACGCGGTGCGTAAATGCGTGCTCTTGCAATCCCTCGGCAGACTATCCCAGACTATCCGTCGGTCCCGAGGTCCCTTTTATTTTTAGAACCGTCACCGAAAAAGCGACAGCACCCCGAAAATGAAAGTTTGAAAGTCCTTTTCTTGAAAAATTGAGATCATACAAAGTGAAATTTGTTTGATCTCGAGGAGAGAAAAATATATCTTTATTTTCTTGCTTAATATTTTATTATGTACTATATATATTGATTTTATAATTATTACGCTGTTGTTGTGTTAATTCGTTTAATTTGGACTTTTCTGTAAGAGGGTACAAAATGTGTATTTATTCTGATTAAAAATTTAGACGGTCGAGACACTTCCATCTATTATGATTGTCTATTATGATTAAAAACTGTTATACCTATAAATTAGAAAATTGTCACGTAAAATTATAAATACGATTGATATAATAATTGTATATCTCACAGAGAGGGGATGTGACATATTTGCGAGATAAAAATTGATTTAATGAGCACTTATGTTTGTCATTTAAGTTACGCAAGCTGTGTGTTTGCATATACACACCTAACTTTAAAAAGGCGCAGTCTTAGCAGTTACCCTTTTTTTATTTTAAATTTCACATGCGAAATATATAAATCATCATATATGTGTGTATTTATATACTTATTGAGATATACCGATATATTTAATAATTGCTTATTGAATATTAAAATCTTGAACTTAATCTTTCTTTCATTTTAGATTTTACATGCAATACATAAAACATTAACATGCTTATTAAGATAACGTTATCGGTATGTCAATCACAAACAATTGCTCCCCGAATATTGAAATCTCGTACATACCTATTTGCATGTTTTTAACATAGTATACTAATCAGTAATATGATTAATAAATTACTTTATTTCATAATGTTTAATGGAATTGCGTTGCATAAAAAATTATCATTAATCAGACTAGACAAAGACTATTCCCCTACAGCACAAAGTTGCACAAAAGTTGCAGTAACATTGCTGCAACATTGCATGTTATAACAATATTGCAGAGATTTTGCAACGATATTGCTGCAAATTCTGTGCTATATGGGTTTTTTATGTTTAATAAAATATGTATGTGTTTTGCAATATGTTTACCGTTAAAACTCATACATATTTCATCAAACATAAAAAATAAATATTTTTAATTAAAACATTAAGATTTGTTAAAGGGTCCAGTAAAGCAATATTGTCAAAAATTTTCATTTTAATATAGCTTTGCATATATGTAGAAAAAGTAAATAAAATAATAAATAAATAAATTTAATTGATGCTGTTTTAAACTGTTTTTATCTGTTTAAAAGCAGTTTTAATGAATCAAAAGGAATCTGCTCTACCTATAGGAGATAACTTATTGTTTTCAAGCATTTAGGTATGTCACATCTTAAAAAATATTATCAAAATATAAAAATTTCTCTCTCTTATATGTTTTATTATTACATTTGATATTTGTGTAAAATTTAAGCATAATTTTCTTATTGGTTTAAAAATCATTTAATTTTTTTTATATATACTAATAAAATTATTTTTTTTATATATACTAATAAATATTTGTGCACAAAATTATTGAATCTATTTATTTAAAAGTTATTTATCTAATAAAACTGCAATAAAATAGATTACTTCACTTCATAAAGCTATTATAAGCTAAATTTATTTGCTGTTTTGTTTTTTGCAGTTGGTTTCAGGGAATATTTATGATAAAAATATTTTTGCTGATTAGTTTATATTGGCCTTTTCAGTCAATTTTTGGCTGATATTGATATTGTATAGCCGAAACATTTTTTAAACCCAACTGTAAATTTCCTGATTCATTTATTTACTGTTATGAATGCAGAGTTACATTAAAATCAGAATTTCCTAGTTGGTAAGGTTCCCTTGTTAGTTGTTAATATAAACTCATGCGCTGCGCTAGTTGGCCTTTCTAGATTACAGTCATTGATTAAACACATCACTGTAATTTTAATGTGGACTTTGTCTTTGTTTGCAATCGTTTTCTGGCGAGCGATATATCATTTATATCATTTATTTATTTCATTATTATGAATGTTTAATTTAATTATTATGAACATCTACTTATTTTTACGAATACATCATATATGCATATATATATATAAATTAATACAGAATGCATAGCATCTAGTTTAAAACGTTTTGATCACTAAAGTTTGAACCTTTAAGTATTCCTTATCTTTTATAAAAATTTATACAAAGTTTAACTTGTGATTTCACTCCACTGAATGTTTCGAATTTTCTCGAATGCCACTGAACTTAAAACTACACTTATTATACAATGAGGAGATGAAGATATTCACAGCGCCGTCTCATGGATAACGAATCTCACACGAAGAGAAACTCTGACGAATTGAACGTCATGCAGATCGCGAGGTCGAAGATCGCCGAACGAAAACAGTGACTTCTTCCATATCGGTTCAAGGAGGCTCTCGAACTGGTTGAAGACTTGGGTCACAGCTGGTGGTCTCATCGATAAAGAAACATTGTGATTTCACGCAGTTAACTGTTTTATTATAAAAATATAAATTTCACGAATAGAAATTCATATATTGACGTGTTTTAGAACTTTTATAAGCAAAGAAATATACACGAAAGAGATTGTTTGCTGGAAAATTGGTAGAATAATGCAGATTAAAGATAAACGAGTTATAGTAACTGGAGCAGCAAGTGATGTGGGTCTGGCATTTAGTAAAGAGCTGCTGCGAAATGGCGCTTCGGTATGTAATTTAATATAATAATATTGTACAATATTCATATATAAATATATTAGTTGTAACTATTATGTAATAAAAAATTACATAGCCTTCTCTCAAAAATATTCGTTAATTAAACTCATCACTGTGTTTCCTCATATAAATATAATATTCCTTTATTTTATTTCCTTCGTTAATAGCCAATTATTGTAAAAATTAATAGAATGGTTACTAATATTTTAGATGATAGTTATGATCGATATAAAGCAATGGATTGGAGATCAAGCTGTAGAGAGTTTAAACAACGAGTTTGGCCGCAAACGAACTGTATTTCTTCGCTGCGATGTAACAAATAATTCCGAATTTGACAGTAAACATAAGTCCATTTCATGTTATTAATTTGTATTTTATTAATGCACACGCTAGTAAGCAAACTCGAACATTGCTTACATAAACTACAAAAGTTAATTTAATTTACAACTTTTGCATTTAGGGAATATTTATCGAATTTGTTCAAAACCGAAACTATAAACTGTTGCAGCCACGTTGAAAGAGGCAATCAGCATTCTGGGTGGGCTGGACATTTTAATAAACAATGCAGGCGTAATAAATGAAATTGACTTTTCCAAAACAATTGATGTTAATGTGGTAAGTTTTATTTCCAACTTCTTGTTTTAACTTCGTGTAATTATATTAATCTTGTAAGGAAATATTGGTCACAAATATCAACAAAAGTCTTTAAATATTTTCTGGTGACAGACCATTTTACATGTAATTATAAAAAATTGTATTTAAAAATTTTACATGTAAGCGCGCGCGCAAATTTGTATAAAGTTGCTAGAAAAGCTAGATATAAATGGAACTAATTGTGTCTCAATTGAAAATAAAATCGCATGATGAGAGAATTTTAGATAAAATAAAGTTCCAAAATATTAATTTCGATATTGCAGACAGCTGTGATTCGTGGGACTCTTCTGGGGATTCAACAGATGCGAAAAGATTCTGGTGGCAAGGGTGGTATTATCGTAAATATTTCGTCCATTGCCGGATTACGAGCTGTATCTCAGCTTCCAGTATATTCTGCTACAAAACATGCCGTGGTTAGTTTCAGCCGTTCCTTTGCGGTAAGTATTTACATTTAAAAATATAATGTATAATAAAATCTATGACAATTATAATGAACACAAAGTGAATTTAGAATTTTACGTTTTTTTATCGTTTGATTTTTCAGTGGAGACTTTGTTTAGAATCATAAAAACACAAATTACAAAATGTTTCGAAATCGAGCAAGATTCTTTTGTATAAGAAATCTACGAGATCTTTTTTTGAAGATTATGACTAATTTTAGGAATGATTAAACAATTCCTTTTCTTTCTTTCTTGGCAACAAATCTTTTCTATTTTGAAATTGTTTTTCAAACTTTAAAATTCGATGATAATTTTATCTTATTAGATATAATAAAATGTGTATATACGTGGACGCTATTTTCTTACGTATATCTGAATTTTTATAACTCTTCTAAAAGATGATTTGAAAGAGGAATGAGAAAGAAAAACATCAAACTTTAAATCATGTTGTAGCAAATAAGTAATTAAAATTTGACTGCAATAATGGATAAAACATATAAAAAGGCCTATAAAAAGCATTATTGTAATCAGATATTTTTTCTTTACAGCAACCTTATCACTACGAAAGGACTAATGTAAAAGTAATTGTTCTGTGTCCCGGTTTGACCGACATATCAGAAGATGTATCACAGGGTATTTCAAACGTTAATACTTTGCAGAATGATCGACAACAGAAGTAAGACTGACGCTAACTTGTAATTGACGCACTCTAAAAATGTACATAAAATACAAAAGATAAATATGTTGCCAGGGTGGAGAGCGTTGCTCATGGATTGATATACGTAATTCGATGCGCACAGAACGGCAGTGTGTGGATTAGCGAAGATGGAAAACCAGTTTTTGAGGTGCAGCTTCCCGATACTTTGCCGCAAAAAATTGAAGTTGATGCACAGAATTAGCCGCTAATATAAAATCGATCCCAGATTAAATATTGTTATAATTCACTAATCCAACAATTATTATAATTCACTAATACAACAAATAATATTACTAATTCAATTAACTGCTCCTTTTTACAAAAAATATTTTGTTACATAAAATCTGTTTTTGATTAATGGAAATTGTAATTGTGATGTGAAATCTGTAATAAACTTTCATAGATTTTTATTTTATAATAAACAGCGTGTTTATTGTTAAACAGATATTAAAGTCTTTTTTAAAAGAAATAAATGTGAGCATAAAAAGCACAATAATATTTTTAATAAATAGTTTATGTTAATTTTATAAATGAATGATATTGAGAATATTAAATATGTTGATTAAATGAATTAATATTAAATATATAATTAATTTTTTTACTTTTTTGGATAACTAGAGATTTAAAAATAACTTTTTAATATTTCGAATAAAATATGAAAAATCTTGTGAAATCTCTGAGAAAATTCGACAATTTAAATGTTTCTTTATAATTTATCAAATATATAAATAAGCTAAGCAAAATGTATTAGAAAATTAAGTCATCCTGAAGAATTAAAAAAATCGAAAATATTTTTGTTTTAACCTACTTATCTTTTTACCTTATAGTTTTAACTAATATTTTATAATACTAAAAGATACAATTAGTTTCTCGATACAAAATACAACTTTTAAAATGAATTTAGAGAAGCCGATTTGGTGAAGCGCCTCACAGGGTCATCGAGCGTTTCAGAATGATTCGTAGCGACTCAAAGCGTTTGAATTCATAAAGTATCTATAAGAGATCATTTATCGACGAAGTATAAATTTCAGTATACTTGGCATTTAGTATGCTCGGCAGTTATATATAAAATATCGTAAAACAAAACTTTAAACACGTTTTTCTCGAAATCACTTGTTTCAAATTAGCTAGCAGTAGCAGCATAACTTTAACATTTTTATTCGATTCACTTGAAATCTTGACAGTACCTTTTATGCTAAATTATCTACAAAAATACATATGGATTTGATGCTTCATTTAAAACTTTCTTCCTTCTTGAACATACATATAAAATCTTGATGAATATGGAAATCTCGTAATTTTCGTAGCTTGATAAAATCGAAATATGTATCCTTGTGCATCTAAATGATATTCTATTCCTTTCTCAAATTGCCTCATAATCGTTCAAATTCGTACGTCTGAGGAAGAAGCAAGCAATAATCACTATCATTAACATAACGATAATTTAAATGTAAATAGTTTGACAAAACATTTAAAAATAATAATTGCTAATAAACTATAATCTCAGAATCTAATCGTACTTTTACTGATAAGATAGTATCACATTATTTTAACAAGTTATAAATGCTAAAAACTTAAAAATAATTTCTTTTAAATATATATTTGTAATATATCGATAAAATATTATTTAAAAAATTATTTAATATATATTATATTTCTTCAGATTACGCAAACTAAAGTCGCACTGCGGCATAAAGAATACAGGAAATCACATTTCAACAACAACGTTAGTTATAGTAAAAAATATCCCACAAATCAGTGATCAGTCGAACCAATTATTAACTGTTTGGTACGCAGAGACTGTAATCTTTTACAGACATGCGTGTTTATGAACCGTTTTGAATCGCCGCAACAGACGCATAATACTTACACAGGCGTGAATCTCGCGTTTTCACGGCGTGCAGCGTAATACGATAACTAAGTAAAAACCACAAAAGAAGTTACTTTCCTTCTCGATTTCGAGTAAAGTTCGATCGGAACCAGTTCGTATCGGTTATGGTATCGACTCGAAGCCGACATGCGCTGTTCCTCGGCTAATTTATCGTCGGCGCGACGTCGATCAGACGTTAAGTACGCTTTTTCTATTGATAAGTGCAGTGAGCACGAGCTGTGCGCACGTCAGGCTCTTATCACCGTTTTGTGCCACACGACTGTACCAAGTGCATTATTTCTAAAGTTCGCCGACGCCACGAGCGATTGATAAGCGTCCCGCATAATTTGCAAATAATCGCAAAAATTAAAAAAAAAGTAAAGGGTAAAGTTTTCGGTCGTTAGTCTCTTCTTCTCTTGCGTTATCTGCTTTTGTTATTTTTAGATTGATAGTTTGTCTATATTTAATAGATTGATCAAAGAATTTACGATAAATTTACAATAATTTTGTATTTACATATATAGTATTATATAATATATATAAATATATCAGATGTTATCTTTCATTTACAATTACATTCTGCTATATATTATTCATAAAATATAAAATTTAATAGAAATATAAAAATTTATAATAATATGAAGATTAGATGACGACTAACACGACAATTCATCAAAAAATTTATAATAATATGAAGATTAGAAAACGACTAACACGACAAAAAATAACTTCAGTGATTTTTGTAAATTTTCGTAAATTCTCGGAAGAAAGAATATAAATTTTCTACGTAATGATGAAGCCGCGGTAAGGTCATTTGATTAGGGTTGACTTATGATAAGCCTGCCAATGATAATGACATCGATAACAATTTATCGTATTGCTCGTTACAACTACAATTACGCGAGAGCGGCCAGACTTTTAACAAAAGTTATATCATCCAATGACTGTCACGTACCCGGAACGATAGTTCCACGCCTCTAAGTTTGACCCTCTGTTAATCATTATTTTATTTTGTAAATATTATACACACACATATGCACAGTGCCACTTACGTAAAATATCGTGCGCTGGTGTTCTGTAAATTTCTAGCCAAGTATGCATTTCTGCTCGTATCAATTCGAAAAGATATACAAACACATTTAAGTGCAATCGTTTGTATTTTAAGTCTATTTCTATTTTATTGTATTTTACTGCGTTTTCTGCATTTGAACTGAATGCAACACGTGTACACTTAGACCTCGAAGAAAAAAAAGAAATTATAACACAAAAAGAACCTAACTAAAACTAACGGAAGCAGTCCTTATAGAAATTTAATACTGGAAATTAATGATTAATTATTTATTTTAAATAATAAAAGTATTTTTGTTTAGTGCTTTTAATACTCAAAATAAAGAATTTTCAGTATTAAATTAACCAGTATTAAATTGAATTTCTGTAAGGGAGTAAAAACGAAAATGCATTAAAAATAAATTTGAGAGTAATATAAATACATAAGTACAGCGTCTGGAAGCTGCAGCAAGATACGTCAGAAACATAAAAGGGCAAAAATATATCTTCCCCTTGTACGATGCTGCAAAAAATCTACGAGTCACCAGCCAGTTCCGCCCCCGCGACTGTCATAAATTTCTATTAACCGAAATGGCCCGGTGAGTATCACACTATTTTAACAAGTTATAAATCCTAAAAATTACGGTGAGGTAAAATCAAATATGCAAAACAAATATTTTTGCGGGAAATTTTAAAAAGATACATAGCTGGGTTGTGCGTTTTAATAATTTTTTATTGCGCTCGCGCGCGCGTTCGCTGGTCAAACGCACTTTGATCACTTCCAATATATCTTGCGTAGCTCCTTAAACATGACTTTATAAACATGTTTTTACAATTTTTCTTAATATAATATATTTATTTTTCCAAAAATATGTATATAAAAAGCATTTAACATTTCTTATATATTCTATGATGCGTATTTATACACATAATTGAAAAACTTGTTAAAATTTTTAATATATTTTACATGTGTGTCTCAAACGAAGCAAATTTTCTTAGCAAACTTTATGTTAATTTCACACAGATAAATGTATTAAAAGATGACATAGATGTTATCTATGTAAAAAATTAATACAAAAATACGATATTTTGACATAATTTGGAAACAAACATTTTTCAGTAAAATTAACATTGATAATATGTTAAATTTATATTTTATCTAGTTATCTTAAAGTTTAAACTTTTAAACTATATTATTTTCACGTCATTTGTTCAATTACTCATAATAATCGAATTATTTAATATTTTAGCTAAAAATAGTGTTAAACGTCAATTTAACACAAAATATTTAAATAATACAACAATTATACGCACAAATTACATTAAATGAACACATTCGGATATATATTAAAAATTTAATATAAAAGTTTTAACATCTTGTATTTTTGTTAAAAGCCGATTTTTTCACGCAAATATAAAATGATTTTTATATATTATATTAACAAAATAAATTGTCACATAGTAAATATTACGTAAAAAGCAATAATGTTGTTGAAGATGCAATCACTTAATTAACGATCTATTAACAGTCTAGATGCTTAGTCTAGTATTCGCCGCGATACAATACACTATTAAAATAAGAATCTTATTTTTAAACCGTACATGTGAGAACACAATCGATAAACTAGAAGCCTATACCGGTTGAAGCTAGATCTTTTAATGCTTTAAATAATTTTTAATGTGAATTTTATATATATATATATGCTATAACTTACATACATACCATGTATTTGTGGTCCTTCAAACTGCGCGCCGAATTTGGTTTTCCGGATTTATAAACGCAATTAAACTACTGGAATAATATGAATTAAATTAATTGACAATTTTGATGCACGACATCATATTAACAAGATGTTAATGTGCTGAAAAACTGTAAATAAATTTATTGCGAAAAATATTACCTCGGACTACACTATTATTATCTTCAAGTAAAAGAAAAAGCGCGCTTCAATGCCTCTCGGTCTGTGTCCTGTATATCCAATATCTAGAAAGCACATTGCCATGATGCGATTAATTAGTCTCTACGGAAGGGGTTAATTAGGGTAAGACGCTATCAGGCACACTGAGAAAAGAGAACGACGAAACGCGACTGGTCAGTCTATAGTGAGAGGGGAGATAAGAAAAGCCAATGAAAAAATAGAGGATCGCAATAGATCAAAAAAATCTTAAAAGTTATTGTTATCGAAAGTAACAATCTTGTTAAATAAACCATTTATTTAACAATTTTTTTGCATTGTTACCCCTTTTTATAGTCATGCTAATATTATAATTCAGTTTTGAAATCTGTTTCGCTTTAAATTGAAAATTTGAAGTTTCACGATATAAGTAATGATCGAGCCCAGTACAAATTATTCATCAATAAATAATCATTATAATTTTCTCGTATCAGCAATTATACACATAATTATATAGCTAATGTATCTTTTACAAACTAAAAAAAACTTGGCGAAAAAATTAAATTATATCAGTCTAACGAATTTAATAGTATTTTAATCCATTGGGGTATAAATATGCTTTCTGGTATAAACATGCTCAATAAAATGCGATATCCTTAGATTTCAAATACCCTCGACGATGTCGAGTTTAAAGAGAAAATTCGAAAATTTCTTTTTTTATCGTAATTGTTCGATCTATATATCTGCTGTTTAATCTAAATGTAATCTACAGCCCGGAGTCCACCTTTCACCCTTTGAGACATCCCCGCCACGACGGAAACTTAAGTCGCAGTATCACGAAATCCCACATCGCTACTCATCATATATAAATACCATTCGAACGGTCTCGAAGTTCAGTCGAAACATACGTATTACCAGCACAAGCTCCCGATTCTTCAGCTTTACGCTCGAGAACCTAAACCGGAAATTAGTTCATTTCTTCAAATATTTAAATATCCAAAGCGGTTTCATTCATGGAGAATATAATAGGTAAGTCTGCTTCTTTCATCAAGAAAAATATGTATCTATCAACATGTTTTGTCATAAAAAACGTATGATATAAAAAATAAGTTTTCGATTATATTATTTTTATAAATTATAATTTTAATAATTATAATAATAATTTTGTAAATAAATATTTTTATAACTTTATAATTTAATTTCCTGAGATAAATTATTATGTAAGGCTTTTTTTATAAAGTGTGGAGCGAAATAATTCTTATTATTCAAATAATGAGAATTTACTTTATCAGAAAAATTTGTAATATATGCAATAGCCTCAATAACATGTATTTTGTTAATATTAATTTTTCTGATAACGTAACTTTCTTTCTTTTATAAAACAAGTTTTATGTTATAGAGCCAAGTTTGAGAATCGTTCGCCGTCGTTCTTCAGCATCTGAAAGGGCGAAAGAGATAGAAGCGATCAATTGCATTGTTTCTGGAAAAAATGTTGTAATAACTGGCGGTGCAGCAGGATTGGGCTACGCCTTTCTTAATCATTTCTTGAAGCACGGAGCAAAGGTATGTTTAATAATTAATATTATAATTTGCAGTATAAAAGTTTAAAAAATTTGCAAGAAATCTACATAAATTAGCATTACATAAATAATTTATAATTCTCTATAAATCTATAAACTACATACATTTATAAAGTCTATTATTTAAATAAGGCTCAAATTTTATCATATAAATGTATAAATATATAAAAGGTCTTTTATCAAAATTTATATATTTCTAATAATTAAGAAAACATACTCTTTTGTGACATCATCTTTTAATTGAAAATTAGTATTATTTTGCAGATTAAATTATTTATCTTTTTCCTGTTAGATATAAAATATATGTTGCCGTCTTTAAATCTAGATTCATAGAATGGCATTAGCTATTCTACGATATTTATGAAGTATTAATATCATCTCGGCACTATTATATTTAAATTTATTTCATATTTGTTACAGAAAATAATTGTATTGGATATCGATGCTGAAACCGGTAAACGAATTGAGCTCGGCGTTGAAAAATCTTACGGCGAGAAGAAAGTGCACTTCATACATACCGACGTATCTAATCACAAACATGTGACTGGTAAATATAGAGATTTTCAAATTGCGTAGATATATGTTACTATCGCTGAATTTTTCAGAATATCGTTCTTACTTCTTAGAATATCTTATTTTTGTCTGTACCAATTTATAGATGCTTTTGAACAAGCATCAACGCTATTAGAAACCATTGACATCGTGATAAATAACGCTGGAGTTTTAGATGAACGAAGATGGGAAAAGGAAATCTCGGTTAACATTGTGAGTATCATTGACAACAATTTATTGATTTATTAATAACTTTACCAATGGTTTCCTAATTTCATGATTTCTTTATTCTGATGTTTTCTCTCTTAAAACTTTTACAATGTTTTTCTTATCTTGAATATATTGTATATTTCAAATAATTTCGTGATTTTTGTGTCATAAAATAATTTTACCAGATTGCATATAAGAATATATAAAAAGATTGGAAAATAAATATTATTAATAACTACTCTTATAGAAATTTAATACTGGCCAATTTATTACTGAAATATAGTAATTAATTACTTATTTGGAGTACTAAAAGTACTAAACAACAGTGCCTTTAATACTTAAAATAAATAATTACTATCTTTCAGTACTAAATTGATCAGTAAGCATTAGGGAGCATTTATAATAGCCGTAATCTGAATAAGAATTAACTGATCACAATATCGAGTATTCTTCTGTTACAGTCGAATATCAAGGAAATACTCGATAGTGATTAATCAATTTTACAGATTATGGCATACGACATACGTCTACGGCCAGTATAAATGCTCTTTTAGATTTCTGTAAGGTATACCTGTAATAATAAAAATAAAGAGTAGATCCTAATGTCATATCAATGTTAGGGAGGCATGGTCAGCACTGCGATGCTAGCTGTACAATATATGAGCAGAGATACGGGCGGTCACGGTGGTATCTTGGTAAACGTGAGCCAGCATATGGATATTCGAAATACAGCTCAACTTCCGGTTTACACTGCCACGAAGCACGCCATCATCGGTCTATCGCAGTCTCTATCGGTAATTATACAGAATTGAACGCAGCTAAGTCCATCTATTATTTAAACGATCATCCTAAAGTAGTTACATACTTACAAACAAAAAGTATAATTACTTATAAACTTCCCAATATTCTACAAGATTGTTATCTTGTGGATTGTAAAATAATGAAGTATTTAATTTTTATTATTACTTATTATATGTATATATATTATTATATGGAGTTTTCATAATCACGTTTACTCTCCAACAGGATCCTTATCACTACGAGAAGACCGGTGTTACCGTAATAACTTTGTGTCCAGGACTGACAGAAACTGCACTGACAGTAGATAGTCCTAATAAACTTCTTTCCAGAGTCATGAAGGCAGATTTCGTTAAGAATCTTGAACAGTTTCCGATACAAACGTGAGTTATTAAAATTGTCTCTATGTCATAAACGTTTGACACAAAACAGCCAGATAAATTAACCAGTGCGTGCTGGATAATAATAAAACATAATAATGTTCGTGCTGTAGAATTAAATTCTAATATAAATGCGAGTCTCTCGCTCCTTCAACAAATTTCGTAACAAATACGACGGTTGCTCAAAAAGTAATGTCTCACATTTTTTTCCTCATCCAATAATAAAAGTAGAAAAGTGAAATTTTACATATATTGCAAATTTGAAGTTTGAAAAATTTGAGACATGTTACTTTCTGAGCATCCCTTGTAATTACAAATAAATTACTTATCAATTTTTTTTAATGAGACACAACTTTCAGTGAAAGTTTAAATCTTCGTGGTCACACTTCTTAAAAGTTCCGTAATGGTCAACCGGGGTCAAAATGACTCCAGAGTGTATTTAATCAATTGCTGTTATTCATAGTTTTAGTTCTATGAAGTTTTCGTTCAAAAAAATTACTAATTAAATGCGCTCTGGGATCATTTTGACCCCAGTGTGATCACAAAGGGTAAAATATCAGGTTAAAATATTAGTTCTATATAATTCAGTTCGTAGATCCTGACGCGAACGTACATTTCTTCCGGTGCTTACATATGACCGCCAATTCAGCAAAGATAAATTTCTCAACGACTCATTGCTATTTAATCTTGTTTTGCAGGCCTTACATAGTCGCGCAAGGCCTGATGACGATATTGAGGATTGGTGAGTCTGGCAGTATTTGGGTTATCGAGAGCGGCAAAGCGCCTTACGAGGTTTATGTACCGAATCCGCGTACTCTGCGTCGTCATTATAAGAACAACTTCCCACACGTCGATACTAAGGTCGCGAGAGGTCGCGCGATAAGAGAAGTCTGCGACAGTACGAGGACAGGTCTGATGAGTTGCGCCTGATAATCGGCAAGCGCACGACCGTGATCTCTCACTCTGTTTAGGGCTGAAAATCTTCGATCCACGTGGCGAGCGTCATCCGGAGACTTTGCATTAGAAGATATTTCACATGTAGATCAGTGTAACCGGAAGTGCAGAACAGACGAGATGCAGCCGAAGCGATACTTCGCGGGAAATAGTATTCCCGAGATTCTTCGTAGATAATTTTGTATTACAAAGTTTCATGCATATTTTCTTTTTCCTCAGCCATCCAACTGTATTCGCTGGTTCACGTTTCCGTCATAATTTCCTTAAATACACGCATACATGTTCAATCTTTTTTTTTATTTCTTATTAGTAACGCCAGCTTGTATGAAGGTGCCTGTGATAAAAAAATTTTATAATAAATATTATTTTAAAATGAACTAATCTGAAAATAAGACCTTCAAATTTTTTTTTCATGTAAGGGTCTGAGCACAAGAATTGTAATGGTTGTAATGCTTACTTAGGCCTGTTACACAATAGAATCGCAATTCGTAAGCCGTAAGAAATTGGCCAATCACAGTTGAATATGACAAAAATAATCGACTATGATTGGTTAATTTCTTACGGCTTACGAATAGTTACTCTATTGTGTAAGCGTCGTCTACAATACACGGAGTAAAAAGTAAGGGTAAGAAATTGACAATCACAGTCGATTATTCTTCTCACAATCGACTGTGGTTGGTCAATTTCTTACTCTTACTTCTTAAGCTGGAAACACAATGGACACAGGCAATAGGCACAGGCAACAGGGAATAACGAGCCGTCCAATTAGAGCTGTGGGATATAATATCGAACTTATACCCCAGAGCTCTAATTGGACGGTTCGTTAGTCCCTGTTGTCTGTGCCTATTGCTTGTGTCTATTGTGTTTCCAGCTTTACTCGCATGTATTGTAGACGACGCATAACAAGCCTAAGTAAGCGTTACGACAATTCTTGTGCTCAGATCCTAAGTTTCGTACTGAACTTTTAAGATTATAACTCATTATACGCTGCAAATTACAATTTTATTCGTTATAAATGGCGACTTTCGATTATATTGATGCTGGGAACTCATATTTCTAATGTGTTAATAATGCGTTGACGATTACTTCCGAGCTATTTAAAAATATCGGACATGAGAAGTCCATGTGCAAAAAAAAAAACATAAGTGGATTCAAGTTACGAACTAACGGGACCCGTTAATCTATGTTTGCGATATCGTGTGTAATAAATCATTCTAGTTTACTGTGTCGCTTATCAAGCATTTAAAACACTGGATATAGCGCATGGAAGACGCCGTTTTCTTTCTTTTTGCATACATTCTAATCACACCGCATGTAATACGCAGCACACTTTAGTATCGCCGGACGCACGATAGTTTTACTAACAACATATGTCGAGTCCTATTAAAGACGTTATATAATTTTATTTACATCTGAGTACATCTCCTTTTTTAGAAAACTGCACAACATGCATCTCTCATATCTCGAATCGCTCTTTAAAATTCGCGTAATCTAGCATTTAAATTTGTAAACCGTCATCTTTCACATTTTGCGCATTCGTCGAAGGGCGGGGTAGGACGATCCGCGCCTTACAGTTCTCGACGTTACAACTTTGTGAAGAAATAAGAAAACATCTTTTCGTTCGATTGTTGGAAAAGTAGTGTGTAGGAGATCGGAAATGACACGACGACGTGTTATTTCATCATTTCAATATTATTCATCATCGGAAATCACAATATATCCGCTGTACAAAACAAAAATCCATTCTCGCGAACATTATAAATTTTTCACATGCTCAGGGCATGAAACTTAAAAGTTAAATTTACCATATCTTTTTTTCTACGCATTTATTTCATTTTATAGTCCTTGCTTTTACTTCACTCTGCATTTTTTCTGATAACCTATTGGAGGTTCGCTTATCAGTTATGTAAATCTCAAGTTGCGTACGTATGTATGTGTATGTTGTGTGTATGTATGTGTGTATATATAATATTTGTATGAGTTTAGGGACTCTGTACGAGCCATAGAAAAATAATAGTCGCAAATAATGTTCTTATTCTGTTTCTTCCACGTCTTATATTTTTAAGGATATTATCATGCTTTTATTTTTATTCGCATCGCCATTTAACACAATTCTACCCACAGCGTCTTCGTGCATTTAAAAGGATTCTTCGAGAGCGTGAATAATTATAATCAAATTACAAATAAATTATTTTTATGCGTTTAACGCTTTGAAAATCTTTATCATAGGCTTCCGAATTTGCATGACCCGTGCATACTTGGATCCTATTTATATACGCTAATAAAGCACTGTTCCAAGATTGGAATGATTGGATAAATTTATGAAAAAATTGGATTAATTACTTTCATTTAAATATACATGTATAGTCATTATTGTACATAATATCGTAATAGAATATTATGTCATTTAATAATAAATTATTATTTTAAATATTTCTTGCTTGTATACATGTATATTGAATACAAATTTTCTTTGGAATAAGTGTTATTATGTTAGTTTCAGAGTTAACAAAAAAAAAAAAATTGATAAAATACAATTTAAGATTACAATATTTTTGAAAAAAATTAATTTTAATAAGCATTATATAAATTTCATATCTGATATTACTGATTATAATGCAGAAATCTATTTTATAGTTTTACTTAAGCTACTCTTATACATATGAGAGCAATCGAGGAATCCTTATTTGCAAAACACGATGACAATTATGTAACATGATTTAGAACTTAGTTACTTACAATAAGATTGACGCTTACATCTTTCATAATTCTAGATGCAGATCTTACAAAGAAAGAGTAGGCGGACAATAAGATTACAATTTAATAATACAAAATTTTCATATAAACTGGCTTTCGCTTATTTCCCACTTATATTCATCCACCTTAATAAAATTATACGTTTATATGAACTTCGTGCCGAGGACTCGAAAAACTTTGTCTGCGTACACTCAAAAAAACCAAAAAACAAAAGAAAAGAATATAATTTTTATCAGATTTATCTTGTACTATATAGCTCACGATATTCCTATTCTCGACAAATGCAATTAGATACAATCGATTTTTACATACTTTGACGAGAAAGTACTTTTATGCACGTCTGTTGCCATTCACTTCCGATATACGGATACAAACCAGCTATTCCATAACGACCAGTATTATCAAGTCACCATCATCATAAAGCCATTCCATAATTATTTATAGTCAAATCTTGAGAAAACCGATTGAAGAATGATCACGATTGAATTGTACAATTTTTTCCCTAACTATAAACAAATACACTATTGTTTATAAAGCGGTTTCAGATTACTCTATTAAGAATTTTGTTAACAGACATATTTCAAGTAAAACTTATGACTAGCCACCTTACGAGTAACTTCCTTCCCTAATTATTTAGACGTCTGAATCCACACAAATAAGTATCAATGTAAAAAAGACCAAGGAACGTTCTGATCATAATTGACTTCACTTTCCTAACAAAAACATTCTATTCTTTTAACGCCAATTCATCGTGATCATTGTTGATTAAGCAGTAAGAAAATTTTTTTCTAAAAGTACCTTCTTCGATCATCTAGCCGCAAAATATCGATGCAAAGAGTCATATGCGCCAGCAACGTCCACATGTGCGATTCTTGTCACCTAATACGTAACCACCGGTTTGGCGATTGCAAACGCGTTTCGTTATATAATATAATCTACATTTAATCCGGCCGTATGTATCTTCTGTGTTATTCGACTGCCAAATTCTAACCCAAATCAGTCCATAACGTAGAGCACATATCGTAAAAATCTTAATCTATAGTTGTGTATACTTATACATAGCAGCACATCGCTTTATTCTCTCCCCGGCATATTTTACTTTTTCACGCCATACCGGTGACAAATTAGATTCTTTTTTTTTATTTAGATAACTTTTCCCTGCGATTGAGAGGCAGACTGTTCGTTGGTCGCGCGATTTTGACTCCCCGTGTTATTCTGTAGTTGATTAGGGGGTTTGCGATTACCGCCCCTGCTACCTCGATAGCCACCGCGGAATCCAACGTTATTGCCGCCACCACTACCTCTGAACATGCCTCCCATTCCGCGACCGTAGTAACCACGGCCGCGGAATGTACCGCGTCTTGTAGAAGCTACACCGAATGTTTCTGAATTCAGTTTTCGTTCCGTTCTCCAATCCGTGCGTTGGAATCGCCTGGAAAAATTTATACCGTATACAAAACATTTCACAGAATTCAATAATTTTCTTCCATTAAAAAGAAATTAAAAACCATAGCTGTACTGTGAATTTTATACGCGGTGATTATATTTATTAAATATTCTCTCGATAAAGCTTACCCTTTACTCCTTTCAACAGCTTCACAGCTAATATTATCAAAGAATGATTTCGACTTATCGTAGTGAACAATTTCCGGTTCCTCCTCGGGTTCACCTTCGCCAGCACCTGTCTCGTTTCCACTGTCGTCTTTCTTTTCATTGTCAGTACCATCGATCTTCGTTTTCGCAAATTGCGACCTACAATATGACATAAATATGTTACATTAACATATAAATTAAATCATTGAAATAATTTTATAAAACAATGTTAATGCGATGCGTAAGCGATTCGTATTTGTTGAAATTACGATTGCTTTAAATTCGCACTGAACTTTACTTTTGCATGGTATCCACATTGGTCATTTCAACAGTTACTTGAAATGAATCCGGCACGTAACCATGCAGAATCATCAGTGTTCATAGCGAACGTTTATGCTCACCTTAATTCTTCGAACTGAGTATTAGCTTGTTCGAAATCGTAGTCGTTATCAAATTTCATCTTAGGCTTGATACCATCCAAGTTATTTGTACGGATACCATCCAAGTTATTTGTACGGAAACCACCACGTCCTCGGCCTCCTCGGCCTCCTCGACCTCTCATGTTGCCGCGGTTTACCCAACCACCACGGTTGCCTCGACCACCCTGCATATGACCTTGATTTTGGCCATCTTGTTTCATGTCCCTCTTCGTATCATTGTAGTGAGACATACCCGCGTTGTTTTTGGTACCTCCGTGGCTAAACATAATAAAGAAACTATTTATCAAAATTTTATGAAGTCATATCATCAGCTCAACAATTAACAATAATATAAACCTATGTAGAATCGCTTTATGTTTGTATAAATAAAAAATCTAACAAATAAAGCAAATAAAAAATTGTGAAGTACGATTGTACTTCTAATATCAGGATTCTAGAAGATAAAACTATTATATGCATAAAATTTTTATGGTTTTATTTATAAAAAAAAGAAAAGTAATTTCCTAAATGAGATACCTATCATGGTCTCGACGAGGCGGTTGGACGATCCTGATATTTGTCTTGTCATTCAATTTGCCAATGTTATTGCCCTGCTGCTGTTGTTCATGTCCTACCTGAATACCTTGATCCATAGTTGGACTTTTCCTTGTCAATAAGGATGACGTAGGAGTGGTAGAACGGGAACCACCACTGATAAGGTCTAGTACACCTATTATTGCAACATGTGAATGTGTCACATAATAAATACATTTTTATTAACGGAGACCAAATAGCCGACCAAAATTGCAAGCATTTCTAGTCCAACACGAAACTTTAGTATAAGAAAATAAAGACAAACTTTTCATTCCCAAAATTCGAAATGAAAGACTGCTACTAACTTCTACAAAAGTTTCGCGTGTCTAATGTAAAATAAATCTCTAGAGGATTTTTATAAACAATTATTATTGTTTATTATTACTGTAATTGCTATTTCGTTACATTATAATTTAAGCGTAAATGAAATAAAATTGAGAAAAGCATGCAGATGCAAAAATATTTTCTATCGATTTTAAAAGAGAAAACCAAATTACATATATAGATAAAAAATTTTAATAGATATATGTGTATTTTTTATTAAGATTTTTCAAAATTACAAAAATATAAAAATTTCAAAAATATATAAATTTTATTATACATATAAATGCACAATGATATTTATTCATTTAAAATTATGTTTCATTAAAATGCATATAAATATATACATAGAAAGCATATAAGCAAAGCATGAAGATTGCAAGATATTAAAAATCTACGTAAGTGTGCAAGAAAGTAGATTTTTGTTAGTAGAATAATTCCAAATTTGTTACTATAACGTTAATTATAAATAACGTATTTAAAAAGATATCAAAATATATCATTACGTATTCCTTCATTCGTATAGAATGCATAATAATTTATGCCATTTTCTGACAATGTGAAGCGCGATAGAGAAAAGCATTACCAAAACAGGAGCAGCAACAAGCATGCCAGCAAGGCAAGGGATACTTCATAGCAAAAACAGTTACCATCTTCCAGAGATTGATCTTTTGGTAATGGGTCGATATTGGCCGTTGGCAGTGAGTTTGGGATAGAGATGGCATTGGGTTCAGCGGAGCCCAAGCTCAACTCACTTGGCTGTTTATTCATTATTCCACGAGGATCTCTAGCTGCAGTTGGCATTCCCATTACCGGGCCCATGGCTCCCATACCCATGCCATAGGGGGCTCCATATTGGCCACCCATCGGACCCATCTGGCCCATCATCGGATGAGCATAGCTGGGCTGTGGTTGATACGACTGCTGACCCATAGATGGCTGCACCGTCATCTACGAACAATGATAATCAAAATCAGTTAAAATTCATCAATATTTAACATATTATAATTGATTTCGCTTTTAGGTTCTATTAATTAAATTTATATTCTGTCAAATTTGAAACGAATTCTTGTACAAAGAATATAAAAATTTAAGAATTACCTGCACGATAGCTGGATCGTTGGGGATAGAACTAACATTGTTGACAACTCTGATGTCTTTGATGTCTGATCCGCGAAACAGAATGTACTCATACACTTGATTTTGTGGTGCCACAGGAAGTTGAGTTTCTCGATCTTCCGTTCCAAAGGAACGTACTATGAAAATAACAAATAATTTAGTTATTTCAAACTACTGTAATTAGATTCACCCCATTACTCTATTTTCTATTAAATTAATTAAATCTTTATTAGATTATTAAATAAGTTTTAATTAAATAGATATTTATTTGTTTATTAATACTTGAAATAAAATAGATAAAAATATAGACACCTAGAGTGTTTAAATTCTTTATATAGTTTATATTAACAGTACTAATATTTAGGTTGCATTCATTTATTGTAGAAAGTAAATTTGTGCAGTATCTATTTTTTTAACACATTAATCAATATCAATTGTGGAAAAAGGAATTTTATATGTATATGTTTCTTTTATATGAGACTCTAGTAGTACATTTCCAAGAATAATATTTGTTCCTAACTGAAATATTTTCCAAAGTCACTATCTATTCAGCAAAACCAAGGGGACAAGGAGACAAGGACATGTAAACATTCGACAGAAGAAAGAGACAAACATTCCATACAAACGTTATACATACCAAACCTAAATTCAAAATTACATCCTCGGCATCAATAACGTACTAGCAGATAATCGCTTAAGTTCTTAAAGTATCCATAAAATATTATACGGCGAATTTGAATTTGTTAAAGTCCATATTAGAATCTTGGAATTGTCAGATTTATCTACTACTATGTGTCGATAACCTACTACCAACATCATGAAAATTTCAACGGTTTAAGACGACTTTCGTCCGATGACTTTGACGATTGCTAACCGCGAAACCGCGACATAATCTCACGCAGATCAAACGATCCGTAACAGTTCCGGCACTCGGCGTTTGCGCCAAGTGTGCGGATCAAAACGCGACGCATTGGCGTGATTGATGGATCGTCTTAACCATCGTGAAATTATGGCCAATGGGGCTCCGATATCGACTCTGTGGGAAACATACGTTGTGATGGGACTGCAGGACGCCGCGACCCCGGTTGTTTTGCAACGCGATGTCGCCGAATCGAGAGTGTCGGCGACTTTCTCCAAAGATTCTCCATGCGTCGGTACGCGACTCGATGACGCGGTCGGCGTGAAGCCGGCATCGACAAACGGTCCGGATGGGACTCTAAATTCATGCATTTCGCACCGCGACTTTCCGCGAAGTCACGAAGATTATGACCTCTACGTTTATTCGCAACAATGGGAACGTAACGAATCGTGTAAAGGTTCCCGCGCCCAGTGACACGAAGACAGGGAGACTCGGCGACGTTGTCGTCGGTCACGGGGACTCCAACCGGTCGATCGGGCGGACGATCTCGCGGAACGGATAACGAGGGAAACGTGAGATACGAGAATCTCGGCGGCGATAGTGGCGGCAGTAGCGGCGGCGGAACGGCACGGTGGATGCGGTGCGGCGGGAGTCCATCTTGGATTTTCGCCGTGCTACTCACCGTTAGCCAGGGCAATCGTGCACTCCTGTGGATCGACGGTGAACAAACGACCCTCATAGCGAATATCCGCCTTCGAGATCAAGCTGATCTTCGAGCCCAGCTCTGGCATACCACCGCTCATCTTGACTCTGACTCCGTCGCGCTCCGATCGATGTGATTTTACGGGATTCACGACACCATCTGACGGGATCGTCCAGCTGACAGCAATGGTCGGCGGCGAACTACTTGCCAAGAGTGCCAACGACGCGCGGCGCATGCGCCCGAATGCTCGCGCGCGCCCTCCAGGCTCCGGGGCCTCCGGGACTATCCTCAAATGGCGAAAATATTTTCGACGCTTCGCAGGAGTGTGTATACAACAAAGGACATCGTTTCATTTGTACGACAGATTTGTTAAGCGTACTGGTACAAGACAAAGAATTTATGGAGATTGGAGAACTTTCCTATTTTCTAACTTATCGATAGGTTTGTCGCGTCGCATGCTCCAACATGCTCCAACATGCTCCAACATGCTCCAATATGCTCCTACTATAGCTCTTATTTACTCCAACGAGTTTGATAGAGGCTGCGGTTCCATTTGACGCTACAAACGCTTCGAAGCATTCTTTGATTAGTCAATTTGTAAAATTCTTTATTCTGATTGGTCGCTCAAACGCTTTGAAGCGTTTGTAACGTCAAGTGAACCGCGGCCAGAGTGAGTAGGAGCATGTTTGAGCACGTTGGTGCTTGCGACGCGACAAACCTAATGTTTGAAAAATTTGTTATACATAAATGAGATATATCCAAAGATATCAGGCCCCTATTCTGTAACACTTAACGACAGTGTCGGGCCCAGGAATAATTATAGATTACCGATATTACCAACTGTTTCAATCATCCGATTAGTCTGCAATGGAATAAAAACTCAGATACAATGAAAGGAATAAGAAGCAAGGAGTAACAGATTTCAACCCATCAGAAACCGTATTCCGATGTATCCAGTTTCTGATAGGTAAAATGGTATTCCTTGTTCTTTATTTCTTATTCTTTTCATTATGTCTGAGTCTTAATAAATCTTTATATGTGTGATTTATATTATTATTCATGCATAATATGTAACATTATATATATATATATATGTTTCTATGAATTTTACATATTACTGACTATAATGATTGAAAATACGGTTTTATATAGAAATATGCGATACCATTACGCCGTATATTTACACGAGACACATCTGGATAATAATAAATTATAAAATTAACATGACTTTATAAACAATCCAGACATTGGAGTTAAATTAACTCTTGTAAAATTCTTTTAATAATCTCTCAACGATATAAATAATTATTATTCATTTTTTTCAATTATTAGTCGATATAAATAACAATTATTAGTCAATTTATTGATGCCAATTCTGGCATCAATAAATTCGCACATAAAAGATCAGGAAGTAGAAAAAATAAAAAGTAGGTAAGTTAAACCGAGATATTTTTATTTGAACAATTAAATATTTAATAATGATATCGTTATTTAACAGAATATACATGTATGATTTCATTATCAAAATTGATGATCATATTATATCATTGTATTTAATTCCGTGTATTGTATTATAAACTTATATTATTGTGCCTATTCAAGTTCAAGCGCGTGATCGTTCATGTCGCAATGTTGGCGAGCCTGCGCGAGTCCGCCGACGGCGCTGACTGAAGTCGTCTTCATGGTGTTCTCCTCACTGACATTTTAACCATTTTAACCTCTCGCTCAGACTCTCACGACCGACTCGGAAAGCCGGAATAATCACGGGAGAATTTTTGCGATAGTCACGAGATTAACTCTTCGTCAACCGCCTATCAACGTTCAGCGGACCGTAACTCTTCGTCAACCGCCTATCAACGTTCAACGTTCAGTCAGAGTTACACTGACTAGCATAACCCTTCACACATTGCACCTATGGCCAACATGGCGGCGACGTTAGGTCGGATTTGTAAATCGGGTCTTCTAAAACCGAGTTATGGCACGTTGATCGGCCAGGTAAGTAAATAGATGCGAATCTCCGACGCTTCTAAATAACTACATGCGTTTCCTCGCGAAAATCCTCGCAGCATCGCAGCGTTCGTGTCAACATACTTTATAACCAATATTGATCCGCGGCCTGGCGTTGTAGAGCACAGTACTGTCGGCTGCTAATGTCGCTCCTTTCTCGGCGATATCGCGTCTCGCGGAACGTCCGCGCACATCGGGGTGCCGGCGAAGGGCCTGAAGACACGCGACGTCAACGCGGTGACTGTTTCGACGGCACTTCAACAGATGTTATGTAATAGTGAGCGATACCGAGAAAATCCGGGATGCTGCCATGATATCAAACGCTTTACCAATGCATTGTTCGCGGCCAGTGGCACAAGTGAATATACATTGTTCGCGAGTGCTATCAACAAATTTGTATGCATGAATTTCATCGCCTAATTATAGACAATTATGTTGTCAATTATCATCAATTGTCAGTGTTGAATTGATTTAACGACTATACTTATGTTCAATAGTTCCTCGATTATATTCTTTTTTATTTGATTATATATGTCATATCAAGATTTATAAGAATATATATTAATTTAAGAGCATATATTAATCTTTAACTTGAACAGTCATTAGATAGACATTGTTCGATTTGTATTTGATATACAAGATATATCTCTCTTGTGAATATTTTATAACAACAATTATTTTGAATGGTATATAAATAAAAAATATATATATTTTTAAATAATTAAAAGTATTATTTTGAATGGTATATAAATAAAAAATATATATATTTTTAAATATTTAAAAGAGATGTATATTTAAATTTAAAATAATTGTAGTAAAATCAAATTAACTGTATGTAAAGAAAGAAAATAGAAATATGAAAGATATGTGTAGAATAATATTGCAAATAGCTTTCTTCCTATTCTAGAATATGTTAAACTTTTTATACTTAAACTTTAAATTTTATTTTTACAGACCAGTAATTTTTCCACTATAAAAGAATGGCCTAGGAGTCGGAAAATGGTATGTGAATTTAATTAGCTTTTGATTGAAGAGATATCCCAATCATATCCAATCCCTTTAATATCAGAATCAACTTTGCCTTTCCTCAAACTGCATGTGTTAGTAAGTTAGGACAGACTACAGTTTTACCTATATTTTCAATATATGACTGTTATATAATATGTGATAACATCATATAAACTATTATAAAAAAAAAGTGACAAAATCTACCTGTAACATTTTTAATTACAGTTATTAACATGCTTAGGAGTAACTGCCGGAGGCATCAGTGCCTTCATCTATGCTCTAGATAGCTCGGTAAGAGCTATTGATTTGATAGCTCATCCTCCAACGTATAAATGGGATTTTTATGGATGGTTCAATTCATTAGATCATGCTAGGTATAATTATTAAATACTAACAATGAATTACGCATGTGTTATTATTATTATTAATCTAATTTTGTAGCATGCGACGAGGATGGGAGGTTTATAAGAATGTATGTGCAGCTTGTCACAGTTTGCAATATGTGGCATATCGTCATCTTGTTGATGTTACTCATACCGAAGCAGAAGCCAAAGCTCTCGCGAGTGAAGTCATGGTACATCTTTTATAATATTACTATGAGAAATATCTCGTATGTTTACAATTGTGTAAAATATAAGATTTAATACAGTAACGAACTTCTATGTGATACACAGATAGAAGATGGCCCTAACGAAGTAGGAGAGTATTATAAACGTCCAGGGAAATTATATGATTACGTACCATCTCCATATCCGAATGAAGAAGCTGCTAGGGCATCGAACAATGGTGCTTATCCACCTGATTTATCTTACATGATAAATGCCAGGCACAATGGAGAGGCAAGTAAATTTTTAATAATATACAGAATTTGTGCAATCAAGAAATTAAATTTTTCATCGATTTCCATTGAAATTTTTGATAAAAATACTTCTATTAGTACTACAATTTACATTTAATTAAAAATATATTTTACATATATTTCAGAACTACGTTTTCTCTTTACTAACCGGATATTGTGATGCACCAGCTGGTGTAATTTTAAGGGAAGGACAATATTTCAATCCATATTTTCCAGGTGCTGCCATTAGTATGGCACAGGTGAGCCATTCACATTTTTTTATATTGAAGCTGATACAATTAGCGATTAAACTTGGTACATCTATTAATAATAATAAAAATAATAATAAATCAATTCTATTCCTTCGTACAGGCTATTTATAACGAAGTCTTAGAATATGAAGATGGTACTCCAGCAACTGCTTCTCAAGTAGCAAAAGATATTACCACATTCCTAATGTGGACTGCCAATCATGAATTCGATGAACGAAAACAAATGGCTATTAAGGTGAATTGAATATCACTGTGAATTTTATTTTATTTTATCAGTTTATCTTAATTATTTTAATGTTGATTATTTATAGGGTATTGGAATATTCGCAATTCTTATAATTACTACATACTACTTTAAGCGACTAAAGTGGTCGACTGTAAAGAGTACAAAACTAATGTTTGTCCCCAAAAAATATCGTTAGCCAAATGGAAATTGACGCCGTGATGTTAGCTTTTGTGCTGGTATCAGAATGTAGTTTCGCAATTTAAGCAATGTATCCGGCAAGTTGTGACTCCTCTCTGAAGATTTAAACTTATTCATATATTTGACGAACTGCCAATTTGTCAACACTCTCTACCAAAATCTATTAAATTAAACATTGTACATAGTTATATCAAATGGAGTCATCGTCTGATTTAAATAAATTGTTAAACATAAGCAATGTCCACTTCCTTGATGAGACACATGATTTATTTACAATCTTAAGTAACTCGCAAAATGTATCGAGTATTTATGGATATTTCAGTCAAGATCAAAGGATATTTTAACTGACTGAATATAGTTTTTATTTATTATTGGTAAGTTTTTATTATGTAATTATGCAATATCTTTTACAAATTATTTCAATTAAAAGTTTTTATTCAACTCATTTTCGAAGATTAAGGATAAAATATCTGCAAAAGTCTGAATATGTTACGAAGTCATTTAATTTCAATAAAGCAACGATTTATTCAAAAGTTAAAAAAAAAGTTACTAAAACATGGGTAAAAAACACAGGAAACGCTTACTTCTAAGGAAATCACTTTATTCTCCTTAAGCTTGTTTTCGTCCACATGGAGCTATAACTTGTTATTCTTTTAATAGGATGATTTTTATAAATTACACTATTATATTATCGATAGTGTAATATTGAAATGCAAAGCGGATAAAGAGGTATGTGTAATTTTCGTTAGGGTAATCAGAAAATATCCAATCAAACGTGGAGATATTTCAAAATCTACTTTGGTGGAACTTTAAATATGAAATATATCCTTTCGATTAATTGAATAATATAAATCTTGAGATAAGATTGAATTTATAGTTGTGATTGCACTAAAAATTAAAATAAACCGATTTTGTCACAATACGCAACTCCTGCACTTTACAAAGTAGTGTTAGGAATTGGATATCATTCGGATAATTATAACAAAATTAATATTCACATAATACATCAATCATGAAGCTTTTGGGTCAAACAGTAAGCATTATTTATCTGCATACTTTATAATTCTGTTGTATTTTAACAATCAAATACACATTGGTAAGTAGTATACTTTCAATATATCTAAATATGATATCGACTAAAAGATCTCATCATTCACACGATGCTTCATACATTGATGTACTTTGCCATGCAGCATTATATATATTGTTCGCTATAGACGAGATATTACAAATCAAATTGTCATTTATGCATGCTTCGTTTACAAAGCGACGTCTCCTCATCAATTACGAAACGCAATTCGTTTAGCGTGAAAGAGAGAGAGGCCGTTTTTAAGGACATGTAATTAATTTCTCAGACATGTACGTTATTTCATTGTAGATCGCTAGTATAACAGTATATGCAGCACGGAAAAGTAAAATAGACATATAGATTTATGACGATCCAAAATTCACAAATTTTCTATTCCGCAGCATTGAATAAGAGAGAGACACACCTCTGCAAAAGATGAAATGGCACTTGCGCGCAAACAGAAGAGAAATCTTAAAACGGTTCGCAATACCAGACATTACTCTTCTTCTCTCATTAAAAAACTTCAAAGGCATAAGTTATTCTTACTGATTATTCATTTTTATTACATAGACTGTGTCTCCAGTTTTTTAAGATTCAAAATATGGATTTTTTCCGCTTTACATTGTACTAGCTTGAAAAGCTGGAGCAAAGTTTTCTTAAATCAATTCGCATCCGTATTGAACTATCTCGTGCGCGAATATGATGTAGTATATGCAATGAAATCGGGGTTCGAGGAAAATACTACTTTTAGTGAAAAATTCCGACAACGAGCCAGCTGTGCTTGACAAATGCATTTTTGTCATTTTTTTTCTATCTAATCTATACATGAACTCGGTACACTCATTCAACTTTCCAAGCTATTACCTCCTTTCTTTCACAAAGCTGTTTTTTTCGTGTTTTTTTTTTGTTTCTTTTTTAACATATATTTTCAGCGGGCACCCTTTTAATATTATTTGGTACCTTTATTAAATCTCGCCTCATGCTATTGCAAAAAGGAAGATATCTCTGTTCATACGGTTAGGCTAAAAAGTGCTGCCTTCCGGAGGCTGAGAAAGTTTCATATTTTCCTTCAACGTCATCAAACGACGGAGCTCTTGAAGAACTGTTTTAATTGTGTACTCTCGTTGCCATTTTGCAAGGACCGGAACACTGCGATTATCCACCTTGTATGAAAATTTCATGTTATATTAAGTACATGTATTCTTTATCTTAATGTAAATGTACACTGCAATTTTGTATACTTACAGCTCCAGTGGCACTGTTAATGCAATTCATATTGATTCTGCTTAAAAATCTTACATTAGGGGCATCGTCTGGATATCTTTGACCACAGTCAATTTTCAAACTATACATCCTATTTTCATATGGTGTCTAAAAGATATGATATTATATCAATCACACATCAACAAAATATTTATTTAAACTTTAATATTTTTGTAGCATCACATTTTGACAATTCTTAGTCAAATTTTTGTTGCATTAAATGAATATTTTAACAATATTATTATATATATATATATATAAAATTGATATTAATACTCAAACTATTTATAAAAATTGTTTTTAATAATTATTTATTTAAACATCACGGAAATTATATCTGATACTGATGTGAGAAAAGTCAGAAATGCATATATTTAACATACGTATCACAATGTAGATTAAGTTGTATCTGAATTTTCTTGAAAGTAAATTTGTATCATGTAAAAAGTAACATAAAAATATGGTACAAATTCATGTTAGCACGATAATGATAAATGACACTAGTAAAAGGTATCTTACCCTAGGTGGTCCAATTATCATACCAGTCCAATGCGTGAGGGTCATGTCATCATCGTTTTCCAGGCCCCAACTGATTGTGCCATCACCCACACCTTTCTGGCCCTGTTCCAACTCCTCTAGGAGTCGAAAGTTTCGGGGCATAACTGAAACAGGATTTGAGGGATGACGTATGATGTAAGAGCAATCAATTCATGAATCATATTCTGATATACACTGCTGGTGTTGAAAATCTATTGTATACATAATATAAATTATAGATTTTAAGGACTGGTAGTGTATTGGTACTTTCCAGCAAGACGAATGTTATCTTATCTTTGTTTATCATTGGCAAATAATAATGCACTTTCTATAATCAACTATTATCTAAATTTTAAACTTAAGCTGTAAGAAATTGTTTAATCATAGTAGATTATTCTTATCACATTTGACTGTGATTGGTCAATTTCTTACGACTTAAGACTTAAGCTTAGGTAATTATTGTAGAAAGCCCATAAGGATGTAACAATTCACTCTATCATCCGTATTTCTTGTAAACTATCCTATATTACAACACAGCTGTAATTAACAGGTTCGATCTTGATCCTCTCTCATCTTGCATATTCAGTTTATAAGAGATTGATTAAAAAATTATAAAGAGTCACTGAAATTCTTGAACTATATTCTACACAATATATTATAATTCTCCGAAAAACATCTTGATCACAGATCTTTCTTATATCCTAACTTCTTACATTCTAAAGACATCCCCAATCCGCAGAATATTTCTTGGAGAAGTATTATGTGGAACAACATGCAGCCTTGATCATAAATATAAAATATCTTTCAAAAGAGTACTACACTGAAAAAAAAGATTGGCTGCTGCAGCAAATTAGATGGTAAAATATGGCATAGCATTTTTAATTGACTACAATAGCCAATTTTTAATTGCTGCAGCCAATTTTTGGTTGCGTTAGCCTATCCGCAATGTCAGTATAGGATTTCGATTGGCTAACGCAATCAAAAATTGACTGTTGCAGCCAATTAAAAATGCTATGCCATATTTTACTATCTAATTTGCTGCAGCAGCCAACCTTTTCTTTCAGTGTAGCAATAATAAAAATAAAGGAAAACTATATTAAAATTATCATAAAAATAAATATTATTTTTCAACAGAACTTTAACTTATTTTTCATTAGATATAAAACGTTTACGTCAATTTTTGAGGGTGCTTTATACTTATTAGGCTAATAAATGTATAATCCTATATCATCATAATTCATTAAATCTAATAGATTCTATATAGATACGTAACTTTAAAGATCGGAAATCTATTTTAAAAAACGTGATTTGTTGTGGCATATAGTTGCATTTATTAATATAGTAATTATAATACAGTCATAACAGCTGAAACGTACCCGCGCGATATTCGCGCCGATACAGGTTATGACACGAGGGATAGGATTCGAGCACGGTTAACCTTTTCGCTATTGCGAATTTTCGAGTCATCGTGGGCTCTGAAAAGAGTCCGCGATACCGCGAGAGGATGATATCGACTCGCGACGGATGTACTATCGAGTCTACCGTCCTCGACGACTCGTTACACGAGAAATACGGGCGGCTCGCGGTATCCTCGACATCCTCTGTCAGTCAATTCGCATAGCACGAGAGTGCCGGGTCCGACAATCGTCGCATCGTCCACCTCGGGGTCTCGATTTTCCGATTAAAAGGGAGAGGAACGAGGAGGATGATCTATCCGGATGTTCACGGGCCGTTCGTAATAAAATAACTCACCTACACCGCTGTTGGGCACCGCCATGATCTCGTATTTCTGGCGAGGCACCGTATTTTTTTTCCCCCCCTAAAGTACAGCGGGGCGAACGTACACCGTACGCGGGCGAGTCACTCACGTGGAGCTTGACGCGGCCTTTTTAATTGCGGCGCGAGCTTCTCATCACCCGTCGGACGTTCGGTGGTAATCCGGCGCGCTGCGACCAAGGGAGCGTGTAGTGCGCCGCGTCAGCCGTGTCCACCCGACAAACGAAAATACACTCCGCTCCGCAAGAGAATTCAGCCAACCTCCGCGCTCCGCTCCGCGCGAGAGATGGCGAGAGATCGCCCGTTTCCCCACGGACTAGTCGCTCTCTAGATCACGTCCGTCGCGTTCGTGGGTGAATCGCACCAAATCGCACGCGCCTCGCCACCGGAGGCGCGTTCTACTTTATATTACTCTCGCGACCGATTACGGAATCATTTCGTCCTTGTCGTTCGTATCGAATGTTAAACGAGGATAAATAATTCTCGGGAGTGTCGCAAGCGCCAAGTGGGACGCATCCCGAATTTGACGATTTGCGTCGCCACCATTCGTGGTTCCACCGCTGACGAAGAGAGTTCCGTCGTCTAGTCTACAGTCTACACTTCGTTCGTTTCTCGCTCTCATTGCCGTCCGAGTCAAGCGACATTAAATGCGACAGGAGATCCAGTAAAATCTGTTATCGATCGGTTAGATTCATTAGAAATTTACCCTAAATTTTATAAGCCAATATAAAACCGCCATTAGAAATTTGTCGTTAATCAGCACAACTTGCCCCTCAATTTTTATAAATCAATATTCGGTCATTGTTATTTACAATGTTACACTTGATATTACATATATCATTAAAGTGAAGTAGATATATTTAAAGTTTGACGAATGCAAGATAAACCAGTGCAGTATGATAATAAAGAACAGGACTCACAAGTTTCTTTAGGAAATGTATATACATATTTTAAAACAAAAGGTAATCCAGGCTGATCATCACAATAAACCCAATTTTGATATTCTTTTCATATACAATTACTTTCATTGCGCATCAGTTCTTTTCATTGAAAAAGTTTCAATTTATCACTCAATAAATATTTTCAACAATTAATTAGATTCGTGAAATTATACAATAACGGCAAAGTATTCTCTATTTTATTCTCGAGTTACTTCAGAGAAAAATGAATTATCTCGTTTGAATGTATCGCACATATTTTCCCGAGATGAGAAATAATAAAACGAAATAATTCGTAACAGGTGAGTCGTAACAAAAATAAGACAATAGCTATTCGTCTTCATTCTATCTTTTTTTATTTCTCAATCAAGAAAAGAAATAGTATTTTCAGATTTCGGCGCGTCTAATCATATCCTGAACGTTATGGCGGAGTTGCAAATGAGAATCGCAACAGCGAGTAGCGAGGCACCGATTGGTCGAACGCGAGGCAGGGCTGGCACCATTGGTGGTGCCACGCGAAGGTGGTGACCGAAGAACGGATCGTCTCGGGGGAGGGCGGCGTGCGGTGAATCGGTGATGCGGTCGGTGCGGTGTGGTGCGGTGTGGTGCGGTGTGTATCGGTGCCGTTGGTTGCTGTTGGTTGCCGGCCGGTCGCGCGCAAGAGCAGAGTAGCGGACTGCGGAGCAGTGGAGCAGTCGTGAGCGGCGCGAGCGCAGGTGAAGGTGATAGACTCTCTTCTCTCTTCCCCTCCGATAATGAACGGCGCGCGATAGCTGTCAGTTCGCGTTCCGTGGGTGCATCTCGTCGAGCGTCGGGCGCGCGCGATGCGCGGTGTGGCCGCCGGTTTCGTGCTCGCGGTAGAGACGCGCCGTACGACGACGGACGATCACTGAGCCCTCCCCATATTCCCGGAGTCCTGGGCCTCGTACGCGTCGCCGTGGATTACCCCGAGGGGTGGCACGACCGTGAAGAGACGGAGGAGACACGCGGTGGAAGAGGAGCAGCGGACAACGCGAGGAGCGGTGAGTATAACGGTGTTTTATTGTGTGTTTGTGTTTTCATTCCGCGGCTGACTGCGGAGGTAAACTCGTCCTTTATCGTGTCGTCGTCGTTGTCGCGAATGTCGCGATCGCACAAGGAGCACCGGCTTTCCGATGACTCCAGCTTCCCGGAAGAACCATCATAATAAACAAACGTAAATACGCCATTGACCCCTCGCTCGGCACGAGGTCCGAACTCTCTCTCTCTCTCTCTTTGGATTTCGTTCTTCGTGCTCGCCGGAACCGTTCAATTCCCGACGAATTGAACGACCCTCGGACAATCGACGCGAAGGCGGAGTACGGTAAATCGGTGGTACTTTCTCCATTAGGCGACGTCGGATCTGTGTTTTCGATCGCGAACAAGAGAGAGAAAGAAAGAGGGAGGAAGAGAGAGAGAGAGAGAGAGAGAGAGATACAGCGACAGCGTCTCGCTTGCATGGGGGCGTTACATTTATACGCGATGGGGGACGTTCCTGACATTGATCGTTGTTACTATCACGTTATTACCACACTTGCAAATGATTACGAATAAGTGTGATTAATTTCGTGGTAAGGTAATGAGATTTTTTAGTACCTTGAATGAACATTCGTATAAAACACCTTGAGATGTTTCTACTAACGTAGTTTTATTTTCTTCTTGATTCAATTGACTCTCTATTATTTTTTTCTAGTTCTAAAAATTAGAAAAAAGATGAAGAGTAAGTTCAAATTAAATCGAAATTAAAGTTAATCTGTAGTAGTAGAAATGGACATGAGATGGCCTTGGTATTGTTATCCATTTGGCAGATGTCATTATTGACATGTTGACTCGATAAAGAAACCCTCTTTAAACGTGATAATTATCAGAAGTGGCGAAAAGAAGTAAAAAAAAGAAAAGAGAAGAGAAAAAGAGTATTTCGAGAAAATTGAAAATGATTACTTTGCGCAAAGTAAAATATTTAGTTAACAGCTTTTTATGTGCAGCTGTCCTAAAAAGAAATCTCCATTAAAGGCGATAATTATCGAGACCGTGGTGGAAAGAAGCCAAAAGGCACGTAATGTAAAGATGTGCAAAAATTATTCCGAAAAAATTGAAGATGATTACTGTACGTAAAATTTTTATTTGAAAATATAACAAATGTTTAATCGAGCAGTTATTTTAAAATAAAGTTTTTTTTTCAACCACCTGACTCGACTTTGTACCTAAAAATATTCTTTAAATAATGTCAAGAACATCAGAAACGTGCTCGTCATTTATGTTAGGTTGCTATTGGTATCGATGTCATTGCATAGCAACACGATTGGCTGTTACTTTGCGTCGATTATTAGCCATTGATCGTGCAATCACGTGATCATTAAAATTATGAATCAATCTACAATCGTCAATTGTCGTTTGTATGTTCTGACCATACCTGTGTGTTCGCTGTAACTATTAGTAACTCATGGAAAATGAGGGAAGGACCCTTTCGAAGCAGGCTTTGTTTTCCTATCAGAAGGGCGTAACCGGCTAATCGCATCCGAAGGAGAAACTCTCCTCGAGGAAGGATTTTATCCTCTACATTATGTGTCTGAGACCGACATGGCTTTCTTGCGTTAACCATAATTTATGTGCATTCGAATTTGACCGATGATTCACGGAGCATTTAATCGCGTAAATGGAAAAGTATTGTAAGTGTCGAGTTCGATATTTCTTTTATTAACTTTCCAAGCATGAATTTGCATTTTATACCGCTGAAAATTATACAAGAAGTAAGGTAATGCACGACCAAGATAGAGTTGAAATCTCGTTGAAATTATATATATATCTCAATAAAACGATAGTATCCTCTACATGCTCGCCGCGTTACCACGCGACACATACATGTATGTGATTTATATTTTTATTATTTCAGTTATATCTAACTTTGACCATAGTTAATGTTTTTCTTGCTTAGTTGATGTATAATTATTATTTAGAATAGAATATAGAATATAAAATCTGAAAAAATGTGGAATTTAGTATATAGAATTATTATTTGAGACACTCAGTTGATCTCTTTAATACATTCTGTATGTGTATAGTTGCAATACATTGAATGAAACTATTAAAAGTGTAGCGTAGTCTGGATTTTTCAAATCTGATTGTACACACGGAAAAATATGTATTGCAATCAAATATTAAATACCTACTGTTGTTTTAAGTATTTCAAAACTTCATACATCCGCAAATTTATTGTAAGTTTATCACAAACATTAAATTTATTCAAAATATATTTTGAATCGATCATAGTAGTTTAATACTTTAATCAAGATTATTAAATTAATACAAATTCGATTTTCTTATCATATAAAGTCGTTTTTTCAATAAAATTATATAATATTCTTTAAAATATAAATTCTTGTTTTGAGTGCATGATAATGAGATTTTTTTTAAATATGTAATATATTTATTTTAAAACTATTATTAAAAAAATAATTTTTAAAGATAATTGTTACTTAAAAGAAAAAAAGTAAATTGAATAATCACTTTTTTTAATAATAAAATGATATTTTTCTGTGTGCAGTAGCGAGATATAGTATTGCCGGGAAAAAATTGAAATAGATTTAATAGAAATATTTATTTAAAGGGGATACGTCTTTAAAAATATTATTTGAAGTATTTTATTAAATATATGAAAAAGACAAATAGTATTTACTATTTATATTTACTTGAAATGAAATATTTATTTGACATTTCGAAACATTGTTATATAAAATCTTCTATTTTCTAATTTCTTAACAGTATAAAATGGAAGATAGTAAAAATAAAATAAAAAACAGCACATGTTTTATCGATATATAGAAATATAGATGTAATTCGTTTCTCTACAGGTATGTTTCAAAATAAATTTACTTGTCATTGGTTATCTAGCTGTTTGTAACAAGTAAAAGTATAAAAAAAATATATAATGAGTGCAGTTTCCGCGAATTCCGAATCCTGTGTCGAAGAGTACCCGGCACAAGGGCACAACAAACTGTTTTTGTTTCATTATTTTCTATTTTGTATTGTTAAGAAATAGAAAATAGTAAATAAAAAATAAAAACATTTATTTAACCATGAAGTAGCAAAATGTCAAATAAATATTTTGTTTCAAGTAAATGTTAATGTAAATATTAAATACTATTTGCCCTTTTTATATTTACTACGCAAAATATTATTTCAAATAGTATTTTTTTTATAGATTCGTCCTTTAAATAAATATTTCTACTAATATTAATTAAATTTTTCCCAGCACTAATTATTACACCAGCATTATTATCTCTATGTCCGTTTCTATCAACGTAAATTAACTTTAATCTCAGTTTAATTTATCTTTTATCTTTTTCTAATTTTAAAAATTAAAAGAAAAAGAGTAAATTAAACCAAGATTGAAATTAAGCATCTACATTGATAGTAAAGGACATTATACAAACATCAATAGATTTTTTAACTTTGATATAATACTTGATATGATATGCGATTTGTTTTCATTACAATTAGATTCTTGTCGATATATATCAAGATACTTTTATATTCCATGAATTATCATTCCGATAATTCATTCGTCGTTGACAAATGTAGCTAGACAGAGCTGAAACTGTCGTTGGATACTGAGTGTCCTAATCGGCCCTCCAGATGCACGAGCGAGAATTGAATGTAACAAGCGCTCGATCGAGGCCGGCTTAAATGCAGGTCTGATTTAAGTTTAACCACGGAGCCCTTACGGTCGATTGGCCGACCGCGCGCGCGGCCAACCTCGGCTTAACCTTTAAATCACGTTGGCGGCGAGTTCTCGCTTCCATCGGAAATTGCACGCGTCACCGTGCATCCTTGTGGGATAAATATCGCATGCAAGAGAGAGATAAAGAAAGAGACCGAGAGAGAGAGAGAGAGAGAGAGAGAGAGAGAGAGAAGGTCCGGTGAGAGATTGGCGACCGCGAATTGGCCGCGAACCTGAAGCTGCGTTTCACACGAAACAGTACAACAACTTCCTTAACATGTTAAATGCCGTACAAACTTCTTGATTTTAATCTCAAACGATCTTCAATTAACTGGATCCAATTAATTGAACTTGATTAACTTCGCGAAAGCCCATCGAAAGATCGCACGCTCGATACATGCAATTTGCACTCGTTATTTTTTAATTGCTTTTCTATACGCTTCTAACTTCTAATTTACATGTACAGAATTTACATTTTATGAGATACATTCTATGAGATATGTTCAGATTTGCTGATAATTTTAATAGTACGATATTTTGTATACTGATGTATTATTATGTAGAATTATATGTTATTGCTGATTGAAGCATTATCAATCATTTCTTCTGCACGAAGGGGCATCCCTTTACCTTAATCCTTTATTCTATTTGAAGTTATGGCAATCGGGACTGGCAAGCGTTATTGCATAAAATGTTTGTACGACAGTATTTGTATATAGTGCTCTTTCTATGGTTCGAGTGCTCCTCCATACATATTGGATCTCTTTTTCTCTTCTTTTCGATATGAGCTTTATTTTTTCCCCGTGAACGCGTGCATGATCGTTTTGGTGAGCATACTTCATGTGTGTTGCTGTAACAGTTGAATGGCTATTCCAATATTTTACATCGCATATTGTTCGTTATTATAGATACTTAAAGGCGTCATAAATAACATCTTGCGCGCAGCTGAAATATTTTTCTATAAAATATTCTCGATTCTCTCCCTGCACAAATTAGATATTATTCATTCAACGACATTCAATAACGATGTCTCTTAGAATTCCGTACGCATTAACGATGAAATTCTACTTGCTTCTCAATGAATTCGTGTCGCCTGTCCTGTAGCGGATGCTAATTACCCGCTCAGCGCGTCTAAAGCGACTTTTGTATTGGTAGTCTGAAGCGTTATTAGTATTGGTAGTGAAATCATGTATGTTTATTTCTTGGACTATTTGTATAGCGGTAAATCGACTTCGTGCTGAGTCGTTACCAGGGATGCCATTTTACAGACGCTTACGGCATAAT